TAGCCTTGGCTTTTAGCCGGCTAGACAAAGCAATAGCACAAATAGTAATAGAGAAAGAAAGAGTTTTGAGTGTAAGTGTGTTTTGAACTCAATTGTTTGTGTGTTTGAAAGAAGAGAGGGTAGGGTATTTATAGTTTTGAAAACGAGTGAAGAATAAGGTAACCAGTAAAGTTTCAACTCAAACATGGAAATAACCACAATCAGAATCAATTAACACAAGTACTCCCCTTTAATCAAGGGATTATTGCTCAAATATATAGAGAAAATTGGGTATCAACACGCACACAATACAACTATTTTTTTCTTTTTTTTTTCTTTTTCAATTCAAGTGGCTCTTGCTCTTTCAAATTAGTGCACCTTATCCTTATTTCATTATTTCCACTCAAAATCCAAACCAACCACCCCACACTTTAACTTTTATAAAGTTCATAACAATTCAAGTGCTCATGAGAGGTGAAAAGGTTCAAAAAGATGGTTATTTCAAACAAATGGGTAAGGCTTGTAATGTGGTTGCCAAAGAAACATGATTATAGGCTCAAAGGGGTTAACTATGATACATAACAATTAGGCGGGTAAAATACATATATGGCTCAACAAAGAAATGCCTATATCACTTCCAAGACTGAACAAAACTACTATTTCGTTGTGCAAACACACGGGGCAAGTTCTAGACATCAAATGCAATGCACAGAATACAACAAACCTCATAAACACATGGCATATGACTCACTCAAGATTGGACCATCAAGACACTCTAGTCAAAGCAGTTGAGTAAAGTTAAGAACATACAAGTTAAGGTACTTATACAAGAGTCAAAAACTGAGCCTAACCGTCACAACCAAATGACTCACTATTCTCAAGGCATAATAAAGTCAAGAGATATTGCTTCAATTCAAAACACAACACAATGGCTCCTACTCCCGAAAAAAACTAACTACGCCCGGTTCATACAAAACCCTTGGAAAAGAACCGCGGCACAAAGAAAAACCAATGGGGAATTACTACAAAGAAAATCTTTTTTGTCCTTTTTTCTTTAGACTTAAGTTCCTCAAGAAAATTGTCTAGGATATCCATCGTCAGGAAAAGTTCAATATTTTTTTTCTAAAAAAAAGTATTATTCAATTAAACTAACACCGCTAAAATACTCCCAGACAGTCTCCTCACCCCACACTTAAAATTGTGCATTGTCCCCAATGTACACCATAACTAATAAGAAGGTAAAAGAAACTTCCTGGTAGGCCAAAGGCCGAAGCACTAGCAACTCATAGGGTACTTAGATTTCTCTCAGGCCTGGTCCTTCGTGCGAGTATCTCACACTTAGTTCCAACCATCTGGTTTGCTATTGCATCCTTTCAATAGCTTTTCTGCGCCTAGAAAATAAAAAATTAACACTACAAAAATAATACAATTAAAAAATTAATAAAAAATAAAATAAAAGAAAGCAGTAAAGTTGGGTTGCTTCCCAACAAGCGCTTGATTTAACGTCGCAGCACGATGCGAATCACTTTTTGTCTCCACCTTGAACTTATGAATTGGACCCCTAGTTTTGATTCTGCTCTATGATCATGCTCTTGGGGTGATGGAACGAATTTGACTGGCCCAATAAAATAATGTAGTATTCTGCACTTCTTGCCTTTAGATGAGGTGTGTAATCCCGACTTTCTGGCAAGAAGAATTCCAAAATGTAAGCACCTTGTTCCTCATTCCTTGACTCCTCAAGTGGCTCAGACGACTCTATTTCCATATCATCATCAAAACACAATGTGGAAAAATGTTTGGAGTGTGGACCAATGCGCTCAACTACATGAACCTTGGGACTATCTACATTCTCAACACTAATAACAATAGAGTCAACTAAATATGTATCTTTAATATCCTTGGTTGACTCTAGTATCTCTTCTACGACACTGACATCCTCAAAATCTAATTCGATTGATTGTTGGTGTTTTACTCTGGCCTTCTCCTCTAGCTCCTCAATTTCTGTATCTAATTCATGCTCTTCTTGGATACTATTCACAATATTGACTTGTTGAGCATTAAAATCTTCAACCAGTTGACTCATGTGAACTTTCAAGTTGTGAATAGTTTCCTCCTGCCTTTCTATCTGCAGTTGTAATTTACTATGTTGTTCCAAAATGCACTTTAACATATCTTTGATCTTCTTTAGGTCAGCTTCCCTGGGTTCTTTGTTCCAATTAACTTCACCAGAAAAAGAAGAACCATCAAAGTAAGGGGTTGGGGGAAGGTAAGAAATATAAGCACAACCGTGAAAGTGACCATCTTGACCACCACATATTTCACATATAAGATTGAGTTGGGGCACAAAACTCGCTCTCGGGAATATTTTGATAATTTTTCCCTGGGTGGTTTCCTTCACAATATGCATAAGGAGGATTAAAGGTAGAATTACCAACATCAAAATTCTCATAATTCCATGATATCGTGTTTCTCAAATAAAACTAAAATAAAAAAAATTTAAAAAAATCAAATACTAAAAAATAAAATAAAAGTTCAAACTTGAAACCTAGCAATATGTACACCTACAACTACATCGTTAGTTCCCCGGCAACGGCGCCAAAATTTATCATGCCAACTATGCTTTATAAAAAGGACTAAGCGGTCATTGCAAATATAATCCGGTTTACAAGTCCGGAGTCGAATCCCACAGAGAACTAGGGCTTAGCTACAACTGTTCAATATTGCTAAGACAAGCTCGAACAATTCCTAAGTTATAAATATTAAGATTCTTATATCTAATTAACTAAATAATTAAATTAGTAGATTAACAACTAAAGATACTAAGGGTTAGAGACAAGATTAAGGAGGTCTAGAGTAATGATTTCCCCAATTGTCGGAATCTTTCCCGCTATGTCTTCTATAATTTCGCCTAAGTATTCTCTACCGATCATGAGCGCTCTGCGTGTTGTAATTCTCTCCCGAGTAATTACGAAAATTTACTAGACGTACTCTCCCGAGTTACGCTAGTTGGTTTTAATTACAGATCACTTAGATTGCACCCAAGGTTTCGTTATCCCTAATCCCTCCTTTAAACCCTTGGTTATTGATCCCTCACATACATCGGGAGTGATGTTGTTCAACAACTACCTAAATATGCACTCTCTCCTGAGTAATACACACTAAATAGGAAGAGTCAATTGAGAGTTGTTCAACCAACCATAATATAAACGTAGTTGAACAAATAGAGAAATGTTACGACTCATTATATACAAACATAACAAGAATTTATCCTACAAAAGGTTCTATCAAAACTCTAGATAACAAATTAGCTATTCATAATAGTATGTAAAACTATAATACTAAAAGTCATAACCAACAATGAAAAATAGGAAGGTGAAGGAAAAACTCGTAGAAGAATTCCCCGCCTAGCTCCTATTGTGTCTCTGCCTCCTTAGGTCGAATCTGTGTCTCAAATCTGTCCAACCTTCCTCAAAATAGCATTTTTACATGTATTTATACCAAGTAGGGTTGGGCCGAGATGAAAATACCTTCTCCTGTGCGAAATAGGACACTCACTCTGTAAAATTTGTACTAATGGGCCGCACCATGCGGCGCGCTAATGGCCTTTATCAGTAGCTTCTCACTTTTTTTGTCAGACCCACCTTTGTACTGCTGCACCGCGCCTTGAGGCGCCCCATGCCGGCAGTGCAATTTCCTTAGAGTGAACTTATTTCGTCCTCTTTTAACATCTAGACTTGGTACACGACCTCCGAACACGATCCCGGTTTAATGTATTGGGCTTTTACTCAGATTTCAAAGCTCCTGATTGATCAATTTAGCTCCAAATTAACTCTTGAGCTTAGGATCACTTCCTGCAAGGCATAAAACACACAATTAGTGCAAGTCACTAGCGATTAAAGCTCAAACTCAATTAAAGTGCAGTAAATTAGAGTGTAATAAGCGACTAAAATACGTAATTATAGCCTATCATCAGTAATATTAACCATGTTAATCAATAAACTAGATAAATTAATTAGACAATTTAAGTAAAAAAAACTCAACGGGATCGTTAGTTTACCCATAGCTCTAGAATATCGTCTCTCGTTGAATTCGTGTCTAATTTCTCCAGCTTGTTTTTTTTAATCTCTTAATTTGTTATTCTAGATTAAATTAGTTAAATATTCATATGTTAGGATTCGCTTGAATAGATTAATTGTTTGGTTTAATTTAGTTGATAGTTAATCACAAGTCCCTGTGGGTACGATATCTGGACTTACAATCCTATATTACTTGTCAACTACGTATACTTGCGTGTGCGTTTGGAAGCAACACAAATATTTTGTAACGACTGCCCAATGAATGTTACCCAATATCAATATGGCAAATCTTTCCTATATGTTGTTTTGTCTTCGGGACTTGTTCGGTGTTGATCGCTCGTTGTTTGCAACCGATAACAGCTTTTGCGGACTCATATCCCACTTGTCTACAATGCCACGTGCCACACCATCATTCGCCCAGATATTATAAACCAGTTTTACCCCATACATATGTAAGAGCTAAAGAATATATATATAGTGAACTCAACCCACTATTTGTATAAAGATACCAACAATCTTTGGTAGCCCGTTTTGAAAGTAAGTGTATCAAACTAGAGTCCAACTCTTTATAGAATAATGAAGTTAGTTAGGAGTGGTATAGGTTCTAACTTTACAAAGTTGTGTGTGTTTAGGAAAAGGTTTATGTGTTATACTACTGCAAGTAGGAGTCCAAATAATCCGATCGTGTATTATTATTTATACCAACTTACCAAGACATCAACCGTATAAACCATAACAGGAAAACCTCAGAAACAAACTTATTCGTGTTCTTTGTTTCCCTGATTTGCTTATCTCTTCACGTTCTTCTATCGTCCTTCCAACTTAATACCAACTTGCACAAAACCCTTTTGTTTCTTTTCTTTTTTTCTCCTTTGGTAGATCATATTTATCCATATTCTCAGGCTAGAAAATTCAAATTAAAATATTAGAGGAAAAACAAAAAACTAAAAGAAATAGCTCTTAGTTGCTAAATAAGAAAAAGCAATTTGCCGTTTACCAATCAGATATTTGTCAAATGAGAAATGTACAAAAGCTCGATGACTACTGGTATTTCAATATCAAGTAGTTTTCTCTACACAAATGAGCACACTCTACTTTTCTTAAAAAAAAACAAAATCCCTCAACATACTAGAGACACCAAAAAAACAAAGAAAGTTGGAGTTGTTTAGGTGTTAGCTTGAAGGAACCAATGCAAGAATCTGTTCTGCTTGATCGGGGAAAAGAGTTATGAATAGCAATGCACCTGAAATATCAGACATTCAACAACAAAAGATTAGTTAAATGAACAAATGGAACAAATGGAATGCCAACTGACTACAACTCTACAAGAAGTTATGACTGAAAAATAAAGGGTGTGTTTGGTATGAAGAAAAATGTTTTCCATGGAAAGTGTTTTCCTAGAAAATGTTTTCCATGGAAAATGAGTGGTTTATCACTTATTTTCCGTTGTTTGGTTGGTGAATGAAAAACTTTTTCCGAAAAATATTTTCTAGTGTTTGGTTAGAGAGTAGAAAATAATTTTTTATGCTACTCTCCTCATCCTCCTTCCCCAAGTCCTCACGTTTCATGTGTTCTTCAACAACCCCCTNAAATTCAAACAAACCCAAAGGAATCAATATGTTGCTTTATTTTTTTACACAAAAATAACGTTGAAATTTGTGCTCCATAACTTAAAAAAATACTCTTTTTTGGTTGAAAAAGAAAGTACTCTTTCTACAACATGAAAATAAAGTACTCATTTTGTTGAAATGAAAGAAAATACTTTTTCTACATCGTGAAAAGAAAAATACTCTTTTTATTGAATTGAAAGAAAATACTTTTTACTACATCATTTTGTTGAAATGAAAGAAAATACTCTTTCAACATCATGAAAAGAAAGTACTTTTTTTGTTAAAATGAAAAAAAAAATACTTTTTTTATATCATGAAAAAAAAGTATTTATTTGATGAAATGAAAAAAAGTACTACTATATCTATAACATAAAAAGAAAGTACTATTAACAATATTTTTATAGAGGGTGGGGTGCGGGGTGGGTTGGTGGGGTGCGGGAATACAGTAGGGAATGTTGAAAAAGAGTTTTGGAAAAAATTTCCCCTTCTCTTGATAGGGAAAATATTTTCTTCCAATTGAAGGAAAATGAGTTCACGAGGAAAATGTTTTCCAAAACATTTAAACCAACCAAACATGAAAAATTGAAGAACATTTTCCGGAAAATGTTTTCCTTCATACCAAACACACCCTTTATTTTTCAAGTTACCATATCGATCTTGGAGAGTTAACGTTATTTAAAGGTAAATTTAACCTGATAGTGTAGAAAACGTATGTACTATGAGTGCACAAAAGTTAAACTCTTAAGAGAATGCATTAAAGATCTATCCTTATAGAACTTACAGATAAGCACAGTTCCTAGAACAGCTGAAATCTTGCCCTGTATGGTAACCAAACCGGCTTTGCCAGCATCTTGCAGTTCTTTGGAACCAACAGAATCAAATGTTCCTAGATACACGAAATTATATTCGGTTTTCAGCTAATCCAGAAAGACAAGATTCAAGTTGAAATGTTAAATTTGAGTTTTAGTGTTTTACCAGGTTTTACAGTTTGAAGACCTGATGTTATGCATGCGATGTTCTCATAACCTGCTTCGTCTAATCTCTGGGCAGCAGCTGCAGACCTTAAAGCATTTCAAGAAACACAACGATTAGCCACAAGAAATTTGGAATACGTAAGTTTACCATCCATCAATAGTGTGAAGATGCATAGATGCGCATGAAACATAAAGGAGGCAAAAGATCATAGACCAGGCAGCTCTTTTAGAACTCAGATGGCACATAACAAGAATCTGTCCGAATTTCAAGGATACTTGTAAGAAAAATAATGATCGATTTCTCCTTTTGTCTATTCACTAAGGATCTCAATATTGAAAAATTTACCTTCGCTAGATCCATGTCTCTATGATAATTGATAAGGTATGATTATATAGTGCTCCAACTAAGCATTCAGCTCTTAAGTTTGGATCATTTCTCGATATGCTCCTGTCATCCTTATGCAGGAGCTGCGATCTTGTATATATATATTATTCCAATTTTGTTGGATGTACCCAAAGGGACTCAGATCTTAAGTTAAGACCAAGTGTAAGAGCATGAATCTTTAGTGTCAAGAAAATTCACTACTGAATTTCACTAATCATTCTTGCCTCATAGGAAATCAAGAATCGATTGTACTCAGTAGACGCACTCCTACTTACTCATCCACAAAATCAAGAACACTAAATTTGCTTGTTGAACAGTGCTTACTATTCGCAGTGTTATGACATCCTGTAGAACAGTGTGTTGTTGTTGTTTCCTGTATAGTACTTCTTATCTGGTATAAATATGGAATGATTGAAGATCAAGTTTTAACTTTTCCACTCTTAGATATTATCCTCTTTGTCAGCTACCTACAGCAGTAACATACGTAAATATAAATTATATAACTGAAACAAAAATTAATTCGAGCCCGCTGAATTCACAGTGTTTCCTTAAGGAATTTAATCCACTCCTAGTACCCAAGGTTATGGATTATTTCCTCCCAGGATAGAACGAATTACACACTGGTGTAGCGGTACTTCAAACCCCAGTATTTCAGCGAACGCAAAGTTCGGCAGCAAATCACACTTATAGTTGTTTTGTTTGTAGTTTTAAAACAATGCAGAACAAGGGAGGAGAACTCAGAAGTCGAATGGAAATTCTGAGAGGAAGGAATGCAATGTATAGCCGATGTTGAATTCTTACTGAAGAGGATATCAGATTGCAATTCGTTTTTCCAGTGTATACACAGTGTATACAGAGTGTAGTTTCAGTGTATACAGAGTGTAGTTTGAGTGTATACAGAGTGTATATCAATTATATACAGAGTGTATATCAATTGTATACTGAGTGTTTCGAGTGTTTTTTTCCGGTGTGTTCTTCTTTCTCTACAACTTCTGCTCTATTTATAGCAGTCATGTGAGAGAAATCCGCCCCCTCCATGGTGGAACAAGCATTAGGATATCATGGAGGAAGCACTTACATGGTGGAATGAACACTTGCTTGGTGGGAGGAGCACTTGGCCATGGTGGGAGGTGCACTAGGCATCTTGTTGCTTTCTTGGTGCAACACAATACACGGATTGGAAAACATCCGTTACAAACACGGATTATATCACGTTAATATTCACTAGTAACATATAAATTTGGTCCAAATAATTAATCAATCGATCGATCATTTGATCAAATCCTAATCCAAATCCAAATCCAAATCTCATTTCCCATTCACTCTCATTTTAAGACTATTTCATCTCAAACAAAAACTCAACAATCCAAAACTCAACAATCCCCCACATGAATGGGGAATGGCTATATCACGGAAGTATGCATGAAAAACTTGTGTGATTTGCAAGCAAGAATTAATTGCATCTGGATAAGTAGGTTTCCCTTTGAACTTTCCGTAGTGAACTTATGTCGGATATACTCGGTCAATCGGTAGATTTGATATCTTTGAACCGTCGAACTTTAGTGTATACCTAGACAACCATAAGTCACACAATCAATCCCTTAACCGTCTTTGGTTCTCATTGTTGTGTTCGTTTCAGCCATGAACACTGCCTGGTTTCATAAGTGCGTAGAGAATTGGCCTTGCAAAATTCTCCTTGAAGCGGCTAACACTTCACACTTACATAGGTGATTCCTAAACGTGTCATCCTGTAGATACACTATTTGATATACCCCGTATCAAATTTAGAAATCATTAAAAAGCCTTAATGCTTTATCCTTGGTACTGAACATTGTCTCATCACGAGAACGGACTAAAATTTTATTTGACAATGTTGAACCGTCATTAATGACTTTGTTTGATCTCCTTGAACCTAGATCTTGGGATCTCCAGTCTTCTAGGTAGAGTTACCGCCACAATGACTTGTTCTCGGCCATAGCCCCATTCCCCTTGATGATTTCTCAACTACCTCTCTAGTTAGGCCTTTTGTAAGTGGATCTGACACATTATCACTTGACTTTACATAGTCAATCGTGATAATTCCTCTAGAGAGAAGTTGCCTAACGGTTTTATGTCTTCGTCGTATATGACGAGATTTACCGTTATACATAACGCTCCCAGCCCTTCCAATTGCCGCTTGGCTATCACAGTGTATGCATATTGGTGCCAACGGTTTGGGCCAAAATGGAATATCTTCCAAGAAATTCCGGAGCCATTCAGCTTCTTCACCGGCTTTATCTAAGGCTATGAACTCAGCCTCCATTGTAGAGCGGGCAATACATGTTTGTTTGGTCGACTTCCAAAATACCGCTCCTCCACCAATAGTGAATACATATCCACTTGTGGACTTCGAATCAGTTGAACCGGTGATCCAATTTGCATCACAATATCCTTCAATCACCGCAGGATATTTACTGTAGTGCAAATCAAAGTTTTGGGTATGTTCTAAGTATCCCAAAACTCGTTTCATTGCCATCCAGTGAGATTGGCCTGGATTGCTCGTGTATCGACTTAGTTTACTTATAGCACAA